TCCCTAAGCTCAGGTGATCTAGTTGGCTTGGCCTCCCAAAGTGCTGGGATTATAGGTATGAGCCACTGCACGTGGCCCCAACTGTTCTTTGATATGATGTCACCAGCCTATGTTGAGGGGCTGTGTAAGAACAGGTCACCATCTCTATTTTAAGGACATCATAAGGATGTTTTCATGGATGATGGTCTTGGACACAATCTTCTTTATGAGCCTCCTTTGAAGAATTCCCTGTCTGACCCCAATACCAAGGGCAGAAGCACATCTACCAACCAACTAGTTTGTTCTGATTTGTGGTCCTTGAATCTAGTGACCAGTTAAGATTTCACTTTTGGTGTTGGCTAAGAAAAATTTTAAAAAACCATGTATGTGGCCCAATTGTTACAGTGATTACAGGTCATTTTGATCCGTTTTACACACCCATCTCTATTTTTTTTTCTTCTACTTTTAATTTTCACTTTTCTCTCTGTCTTTGTAAGCTGGCACATATCTTGTGTAGGACAAAAAAAGAATGAACAGATAGATAAGAATGAATTTATGGGAACAATGGAGAGAACATTTGAAATTAGAATTGGGATGGCCATTTTACAAGTAGCTAAGAGTCCACCATGACTTACATATATATCTGTAGTTTGTTTTTTTTATCCCAGTGAAAGCATAAGCCAGGTGTGGTGACTCACACCTGTAATCCTAGCACTTTTGGAGGCTGAGACAGGTGGATCGCTTGAATCCAGGAGTTCAAGACCAGCCCGGGCAACCTGACGAAACCCGGTCTCTGCAAAAATATAATAATTAGCTGGGCATGGTGGCACATACCTGTGGTCCTAGCTACTCCAGAGGCTAAGGGGAAAGGATTGCTTGAGCTTGGGATGTCAAGGCTGCAGTGAGCTGTGATCAAACCACTGCACCGCAGCCTGGGTGACAAAGCAAGACCCTAACTCAAAAATAAATAAATAAATAAATAGCATATATTGCCTAATGAAAAAACCCATTGCGTGTAAACTATGATGTCATTTTGATTTTCCTCTTAAAATGGTAAGCATATTGGTAATCTAAAATAATATTTCCCTCATTATAAAAATAATATGTGCTTATTGGGAAAAACAGTGAACAGAAAAGTACAAAGAAAATGACTTGTCTGAGGGAGTTTGCAAAGCTCTACATTGTAACCTCCCTAAAATAAAACTGAATGTGACATAAAATTCATAAGGCCTTGACTTCCATATCTGCTTATAGCTGCCGGGCTGAGAAAAGACAAACAGCCTCCTATTCTGGTAGTGTGTAAGAATGTCCACTTGTTCTTCAAAAAGAGACAGGCAATGCAAGGAATTTACATTAAAAGCATTTATTCGTCCTACTATTATAATGTAAATTATTTCTAGTCAACAGCTGGAACTAAGGAATGTCAAACTCAAGAGCAGGCTCTGCCCTTGGGCTTATACCATCTGTATATATCCCATTTATATATTTCAGAGGGTGGGTTCTGGTTTCCAAGTCAGCTGTTGAACTGTTTCAAACTTGTAATTTAAAAACTAGTCTATTACAAACATAAAACTAAACCATATGAATATATTTCTGGAGGCTTTGCCATCAAATGTGGAGAGTCTGAAAGCACTTATTTTAGGAAAACATCTTTACAGCTATTTTATGATCAAAACTCTTCTTAATTAAGGCTGCAAATAACCAATTCATCTTAACCACCTCTAATTTAATTTCATAAATTTTTAAAATAACAAAGGCTTTATCTAAAGCTAGCACTGTGTACCTACGGAGCTTGTACCTACAAAATAAAAACAACTGAAAAGCCTTCTTAAGCCATCACTTGTGTGTGATTGCAGGCACTTACCCACATAAGCAGGCCTATGACTTATGATGTTCCAGAGCGAAGAGCCAGCCTTTGAGGACTGAGAAAATAATCAGCCATTAAACTATGATGTAGGCCTTGAAAAATGATCAGAACAACCTTGATCATGACCCGAAGGACAGAACAGAGTAAAATACCACATCATCAAAGAAATACCTGCAATGGTTGGGTAACCCTAAAGTGAGAACATTCTTCAAGGATGAACGAGCAGAGTACTCTCTATTCATTTAATGCTTTTGCATACTCTCTTTAAACATGTAATTCTCCAGTGAGAGATTCTAGTGAATTTAACATTATAGCACACTATAGTTTTCACAAAAGATTCATAGTGGGCTCATTCCTTCGCCAATGTATGTAGTCAGCTTCTTTCTGTGCTCCCTGTTCAATGATGATAGAGTCCAGAGCCCCCTCTTGAAGTTTCAGAGGGAAAACCCTGAAGCTTTAAATTAAGCTGATCTCTTAGATTGGCATAATTAGCCATTTCTGGTGTCCACCCAAGGATCACATCACTAAGCTGCTGACTCAAGGTAGTGGGTGGGGCGGAGGAGAGGGGGATGAGGGTAGAGAGGGGGTGATGGGGGAGTGACCTACAACCTCTCTTCCCTCTCATTTCTGTCTGAATAGAAAACTGAAAATGCTAAATCAGAAGCACAGACAAATGAGAGTCCAAGAGGCTCAAGGCTTTGCTTTCCTGTCTGGCAGGGCAAAACATGACACTGAATTTACTTTGTCCAACTCAGGGTTACAGGTCCCAAAAATGATAAAGGAAGAGGCAAAAGTGATCCCATGAGGCAGAAAGTCATATGTATTAGAACAGCTCCAGTGTTCTGGGTTCTTCTAGAAGGGTGCACATCTCAGTCCTAATTATTAAACCTTAAAATACTATTCCATAATTTACATCTTTAAGTAGTCAGATCTTTCCTTGATCTATCTGGAAACTCACTCTTATTTTGACTAAACGTGAAAGGTTAAATGTTACATTTGCCTACTTTCTCACCTGGAATATGTGTGATTCTGAGAGAATCAGAGACAATCAGTCACAATTGAAAGATTTATTGTTTCTGTTTCCTATGTTTATTTCATTGCGATGTCACAAGGATAGATTGAGTACATCTTTCCAAAGCATCTGATTCAGTCACAATAACAAACAGGATTTAAAAACCTTGAGGCTGGTATTAGACAGCAGCTAACAATGAACAGATGTTCTTTGTTTTCTCAGATACTTGTGAATGTAGAAGGTTCAGATAACATTTCATAATCACCACACTGAAAGTGTGAAATAAATATACCTTTACAAAGAAATGTGGCAAGATAGGAGAATATAATGCTTTATTCTTAGAGCATGTGTCATTTCCAATGAAGTTTCTTTCACCCTCCTGGCCTCCCTGAACACTATGCAAATTCTCAGCATTAACCAAGATCTCAGCGACTGATTTTGAACAAAGGGCTTCAGATAATTTCTATGGGAGATACAAGGCTTGCTTTCACCTATGCAGAAACTCAAATGTGTCCCAAGGCTCTCATTTTTCAAACAACTTAGAAAAATATTACAGATGAATAAACCCTTTGATTTGAAAAATCATACTTTCTAACAAAATATAATCAAAATAGTGATGCTTATCATACAAATGTAGATATCAACAAAAGGAAAAAGCCAATGTTGTGGCTAAATTAGTGTTTCCTTGAAGTCAAGATGTGGTTTATTCAATTTCTTCATTCAATCAATATTTATTGAATGCTTTCTCTTTGCAAGCCATTGTGCCAGGAACAGTGGGAAATACTAGAGTGCATGAGATGGTGTATACACACAGAGAATGTTTTCACTCTATTAGATAGTACACAAACTCAACGATCCACCACAAAGATCTGTGCTAAGCAGCACGAAAGGGTATTAAACAAAGCCTGAGGGGCTGGAAAGAAAGAGTAAGCCCTTCTCATGAGAGTCCTTGGGTAAGACATCATAGTTTGTGGATTTTGAGCTGAGTCTATGAGAACTAGTTGATTAATAGATTCTATTAGGAAGCCTTAGCATTATTTTCTACCTGAATTATGTTTTCTTATAAGGAAGACAAAAACAAATATGTTGTTCCCTCTTAAAATAATTACAGTTTGTTCAACAGATACTCACTGAATGCCCACTGTGTACCACATGCTGTACTTCCAAGAAGACAACTTCCAGGTTCCAAGCAAAGTCAGAAATAAGCACACTGCTGAAGGTGGACTCAACTGGTCCTTTCAGATGAAAAGTATGTGAAATATGTGTGTTTGTGTGTATATTTTAAAGGGTAACTTCATCTTATTCTTCATGAACTGAAAGCTGGAAAAGACCCAAGAAAAAGCTCTTCCCTCCTTTCCCTAAGTCATTTGTCATGATTGGTTTTGAAAGTTTTTAGGGAGTGAATGATTTCAAGTTCATCTGTTTACGTAAGTCTTTGACTACTGAAGGTATTTCTAAAAATCTAACCAAACAAGACAAAACTGTTAACAGTGGGAAGAGTACTGAGGAAGAGTACTAAGATTACAGGAAGAAGGAATCATCACAATTTCCATTTTTTACTTAGGTATTATTTGAACATTTTTCCAGAAGCATATATTAAAGAAAGAAAGGAGATAATCTAATGTAACATCCCCTTGCTGAAAGCCAAGCATATTTTTGTCTCATTTGCCCAGGGGAGATGTCTACATAATAACATCCACATCCTTTAGGAAAGACATTGCATCTCTGAGTGTTTAGGCTTTTTTTTCACCAGCACTGCTATTTTTAATACTGTCTTCATATTTGGTCTATAATCTAACTCTGTTCCAAATTTTTTTTTAGATGCAATAAAATTTCTTTTAGCCAAAGTGGTTAGGAATTGTGTTTCTAGTTAAGTTGAAAACTACCATTGTTCAGAGAATTAAGTTCATCTTGATATGCCCACACAAAACTACAGAGAAGATCATTTAATTTTCTTTGCGACTGTGAAGTTATTTCCAGAATATTCTCCTTTGGAAAACTAATTTTTGTCACATACTATAGCATATGTGACAGATGTAGACTATTAGGCCAGACAAAATTACAATATCCTGGAAAGCTGCTTAAATGATTTCATTGTTAGTATTGACATACTTGTATCTATTTCTCTTAAAAATCAAGTATAGATCATACTTCTGGTTCCAATGAAGATGGAACACTCCATTTCTCGCAGATGCTCCCTTATACAACTGTGGCCATAACACAACGAACAGACATAGAGAAACTCAAAAGAAAGAAGGTTGACTACCTAGGGATTGGGGACTTAAGAAACAACCTGCTTGGGAGTTCTGTAAGTTTCATCATTGCTTCTCATATATCCCAGACAGGGTGTTGCAGACGCTTCCAACCTAGAGCTGCCAACAGGCACAGACAAATAAGCTCTAAAAAAGTCTGTTCCTCCTAATCAAATGACCAAGAAACCAGTGCCCTTGGAATGGGAAGCCTTTTTGGTAATATCCGCCCTACTCTTGCCAAATACTAATAGGAATATTATATTCCCTTCTCCACAGTTTCAGTGGGACAGAGTGAAGAGCTGATCTTCCTCCCCATCCCCTGTCTCAGTGGCATCAGATGGTGGTGCTCTGACTCCTTGGCCCCGTGGTATTGGTAGGACTGATCAGGGATCTAGTCTTCCATTTCCTGCAGGCAGAAGCAGGCAGGAAATGGAACACTAGCTCCCTGATCAGTCCTATCCTTCCATCAGGGTAGAGTCAGCAAGGTGCACCAGCAAATTGAACCTCCAACCCCCACCCAGCAGCAATGAAACTAAACAATGACGTGCAAAATAGAGCTCACAGGCACCCTGCTTCTGCCCTCACCCAGAATCAGCCAGGCACAATGAGGGGGTGGGATGCGGATTCTCATTGCCCAACTGCTTCCCTCCATGCCCTCTGCTGGTTTCAGCAGCACTGGTGAGAAGCTGACCTTCTGTGCCTACCCTGAAGCCACAAAGCTGTGTGTGTTAGTCCCCTCCTTCCTCACTCTCTAAAAACAATGGAGCCCAGCAGAAAGCATTTTAATTCCCATTTGGAGGCCAGGAGATGGTAGGAGTCAGTGCCTCACTTTCATTGAGAAGCTGTCAGTGAGGCCAAACGGGAGCTGAGCTTCCTCCCACTCACCCCACTGCAGTGAGGCAGTGTGAGCCAGCACTCCAGGATGTGTGTTTGCCAGGATGGTGTCAGGAAGCTAAACATACACACCAACCTAGTCTTCATTATCTCAACAGGGGTCTGTCTGCTAATAGAAGATTAAATATGATCCAGAGTGTCATAATATAACATAAAAACTGTCAGAATAAAGTTGAAAATCACAACATGAATCAGAAAAGACAACTGACAGATACCAACATCAAGATGAATCAGATGCTGGAATTATCTGACAAGAATTTTAAAGCAGCCATCATAAAACTACTTCAACAAGGAATCACAAATTCTCTGGAAACAAATGCAAAAAATACTGAGAAAATCTCAGCAAAGAAATAGAAGTTATAAAAAAGAACCAAATGGAAATTATAGAAATAAAAAATACAATAAGCTAAATAAAATCTTAATGGATGGTCTCAGTGGTAGAATGGGGAGGACAGAAGACAGACTCAGTGAACTTGAGGACAGATGAACAGATTTTACTCAAGCTGAACAGAGAAAAGTGTAGACGGAAGAAAATAAAAACGGTCTTAGAGGCCAGGTGTGGCGACTCACGCCTGCAGTTCCAGCACTTTGGGAGGTAGAGGTGGATGGATTGCATGAGCTCAGGAGTTCAAGACTAGCCTGGAAAACATGTGGAAACCCCATCTCTACAATAAATACAATAAATTAGTCAGGCATGGCCATACATGCCTGTAGTTTCAGCTACTTGGGAGACTGAGGCTGGGAAGATTGCTTGAGCCTGGGAGACAGAGGTTGCAGTAAGCCAAGATCATACCACTGCACTACAGCCTGGGTGACGGACCAAGACCCTGCCTCAGAAAACAAAAATAAACAAAAACCATAAACAGTCTCAGGGACCTGTGAGACAATAACAAAAGAGCTAACATTTGTACCATTGGATTCTCAGGAGAGTGAAAGTGAGACTGAAAAAGTATTTAAAGAAATAATGGGGCTCCTCTAATTGGGACTCCGAGCTGGGGCTATTTCTGACGCTGGCACGGCTCCAAGAGGCATCCGCATTTGCTACCAGCGCCGGCCGTGGCGGCCGAGCTCGCGCATCCCAGACGTCACTCTTCCACATGCTCCTTAGAGAAGGGAAGATGAGCGAATCGAGCTCAAAGTCCAGCCAGCCCTTGGCCTCCAAGCAGGAAAAGGGCGGCACTGAGAAGCGGGACCGGGGCAGGCCACGCAAGCAGCCTCCGAAGGAGCCCAGCGAAGTACCAACACCTAAGAGACCTCGGGCCGACCAAAGAGAAGCAAAAACAAGGGCGCTGCCAAGACCCGGAAAACCACCACAACTCCAGGAAGGAAACCAAGGGGCAGACCCAAAAAACTGGAGAAGGAGGAAGAGGAGGGCATCTCGCAGGAGTCCTCGGAGGAGGGGCAGTGACCGTGCGTGCCGCCTGCTCCTCACTGGAAGAGCAGCTTCCTTCTGGGACCGGACAGCTTTGCTCCGCTCCCACCCACCCCCCTGCCCCTTCCCCAGGCCCACCATCACCACTACCTCCAGCTGCCACCCCCATCTTCCACCTGTGCCCTCACCACCACACTACACAGCACACCAGTCGCTGCAGGGCCCCCACGGGCTGAGTGGGGAGTTTTCCCCTGGCCTCAGTTCCCAGCTCCCCCACCCACCCATGCATACACACATGCCCTCCTGCACAAGACTAACATCCCACTTAGCCGCACCCTGCACCTGCTGCATCCCAACTCCCTTGGTGATGGGGGCATTGCTCTCTGGGCATTTGGTTTGGGGGCGCCCTCTCTGCTCCTCTACTGTTCCCTCTGGCTTCCCATAGTGGAGCCTGGGAGGGTTCCCCTGGCCTTAAAAGGGGCCAAGCCCCATCTCATCCTGGCACACCCTACTCCACTGCCCTGGCAGCAGCAGGTGTGGCCAATGGAGGGGGGTGCTGGCCCCCAAAATTCCCCCAGCCAAACTGTCTTTGTCACCACATAGGGCTCACACCTTTCATCCTTCCCCACCTTCCCTAGTTCTCCACTATGTTGGACAGCCCCCTTTGGCTACAGGAAGGCAGGAGGGGTATGAGTCCCCCACACCCTTTTCACTGTGGTCCCAGCCCCCTGGCCCTCCACCTAGGATCTGAGTATATATTGTGGTGATGGAGATGAAGTCATTTATTGTCCAGGTGAGGCCCGTGAGCCCTGTGGCTACCACCAGAGATGGGCTGGAGCTGCTCCCCCTACCCTACTTTGCTTCTGCCACTCGGCCATTTCCCCCTCCTCAGATAGGGCACCAATAACAAGGAGCTCAACCTGCCCACTCCCAACCCTCCTGCTCCTCCCTGTCCCCCAAGGTTCTGGTTCCATTTTTCCTCTGTTCACAAACTACATCTGGACAGTTGTGCGGTTTTTTGTTCAATGTTCCATTCTCTGACATCCATCATTGCTGCTGCTATCAGCGCCAAACGTTCATCCTCAATGCCTCCTGTTCTGCCCACGATACCCTACCCCAAGATACTCTTCACAGGGAAGAGGGGCTGGGGCATGGCAGGCTGGGTGACCAACTACCCCAGTCCCAGGGAAGGTGGGGCCCTGCCCCTTGGATGCTGCAGCAGGGTGAGCAAGGGGGCCCGAATCGACCACAAAGGGTGTAGGGGCCACCTCCTCCCCCTGTTCTGTCGGGGAGGGGTAGCCATGATTTGTCCCAGCCTGGGACTCCCCCTCTGGTTTCCTATTTGCAGTTACTTGAATAAAAAATATCCTTTTCTGGGAAAAAGAAAAGGGAAAAAAAATAATGGCTGAAAAATTTCTGCATTTGGTGAAGGACAGAAATATAGAGACTTAAGAAGCTTAAAGAATTTCAAATAGAATAATTCCAAAGAAATCTACATTAAGACTTTTATTATGATTAAAAGTCTGAAAACGAAAGGCAAAGAAAAATCTTGAAAGCAGCCAGAGAGAAATGACACATTACTTATAGGAGAACACCAATGCAAATGAGAACAGATTTCTCATCTCTAACCATGGAAGCCAGAATAAACTAGCACATTTTTCAAGCACTGAAAGAAGAGAACTGTAAACCTCCAATTCTGTTTCTGCCAAAAATGTCTGTCAGGAATGAAGGGGAAAATAAAGATATTCTTAGATGAACAAAAGCTAAGAAAACTTGTTGCTAGCAAAGCTATTATTTAGAAAAAATGGCTAAAGAAAATAGCAGGCTTGGAACTTCAAAAAGGAAAGAATATTGGAATTGGCAAAAAAATAAACTGTCTTTCTCATGAGTTTCTTAAATTGCATTTGATGGTTGAGGCAAAAATTATAACATGCATCTGACGTGGTCCTAATCTTGGTAGAGTCAATACTTACAATGGTCTTTAAGAAATTGGGAAGGTAAAGAGATGTAAATGGAAGACTGTTTCTTTTCTCTACTAGATGTGGGAAAATGTTCTTACCTGTAGACTGGAATAATAACTTTGTATATTATAATACCTGGAACAAACACTAAGAAAACTGTACAAAGCAATATGCATTTGTATCATATGCTCAAGATGACAAAATTACAGATTAATGGTAGCCGGGGCTTCAGGAAATGGAAAGAAGGGAAGTACTTGTGGCTGTAAATGTGTGGCGCAAGGGACCCTTGTGTTAAAACCATACTGAATTGTAGTGACCATATGCATCTATGCACGTGAAGAAATTGCTTGTTACTAAACAGTCACACAAACCCAGACACACAAATGAGTGCATGTAAAACTGGTGCTGTCTGAATATACTTGATGCATTGTATCAATGTCAATTTCCTAGTTGTAATATGGTACTCAAGTTAGACCAGATGTTACCACTGGAGAAAACAAGATGAAGGATATATGGGCTCTCTGGATTGTCTTATTATAACTGCATGTGAATCTACAATGATCTCAACATATACAAGTTTTGAAAATTAAATATAAAGTGTGTAAAAAATCTAGTAATTTCAGTTTTTCAATCAAGTCTATTCTGAATGAACTTATGCTTAGCTGATCAGAGTTTATGAAATTTAAATAGTAGTGCTAAATGTATCCTATTCTCTATATTTAGAGAAAGCACATTGGCTGGTCCAGTAATACGTCTGGCATGTGGTATCAGGTGCCATTGAGGCTGAGGAGGTTCCAGTGTACACATACATGTTAGATGAATAAGGGGCTGATGACAATCGGAAAACTGTGGCATAATGCAAGAGCCCCCGAAGGAGAATTTACACCTACTTCAAGTGGAATCTGGCACAATGAACAGACTGGCCACAGGACCTGAAGACTGGAAGAGAGTGACACACTGCTAATTAATAGCATCTAAAACATCCCAAATGAGCTACTCCAAGAGTGTTTGTGAACATCTTGATACAAAGGCCTATCTTGTAAACAGACAGAGCTGTCCCACTAAAAACTCTCCTGGCCTGGGGCCTCTTCTGGGAGCATTCAGAGAAAGCAGGACTTATAGGATAGGGAGTTAAGCTTCCTGCCCTGGTTCAGATCTGCAGCTGAGCAGGGAATGATTCAGCAACCAGGAGAAGGCATCTGTGGGCCTGGATGTTGGCAGCCAGGAACAAGTGCAAAGGCTGTGCCAGTGATGGCCAGAGTGAAGATGGCATGGCAGTGGAACATGGAGTAGTAGTCCACACTTTACCCTGAGCATCTGAGAGATGCCCCTTGGGACTCCTAGAGCTATGGAACAAGGTGGGAGTATGTGAGAGATGGGGAAGGGACCAATGCCACTCAGGTTCTCACGTAAAGGGGTTGTCAGGCAAAAAAATCTACAGGGCAGTTCTTCTGAATCTTGCACACATTGGAATCACTTGGGGACTGATTCCTGGAACTGACTCCTGGATCCTCTATCAGTTCTGATTTAATTGGTCTGGGTGCATCTGAGTACTTTGGGGACGTTTTTAGTTTCCCAGGAAATTCTAATGTTCAGTCCTTTGATCTAAGCTTAAGATCTCCAACTTAACCTTACATTAGAGTCACGAGGAGGGCTTGGTAAGCAGTAAATTGCTGAGTCCATCCCTAGAGTTTCTGATTCTGTAGGTCTGGAGTGAGACATGAGAATCTGTATTTCTGTGATGCTCCCAGATGATGCTGATGCTAAAGGTCTGTGGAACACATTCTGAATGGTACTGACCTAGGATAAGTATTTATTGAAGTGACATCTGCATCCACCATGTGGGGTGGCTGCTGGGGACATCTGGATCATGGGAACAGTGCAGAGTAGAACCCAACACATAAACTCATTAGCCTGAGCCTCATGCTGCTCTGCTGCATTCCAGCTACATGAACTTGAATAATTTACTCAAACTTTCTAGACCTAATTTCCCCAGGAGTAAAACAAGAAAATTATGGCAGCTACTCACTAGGTGGTTGCATTTTTTTTTTTTTTGAGGCTGGAGTGCAGTGATGCCATCTCTGCTCACTGCAACCTCCACCTCCTGGGTTGAAGTGATTCTCGTGCCTCAGATTCCTGAGTAGCTGGAATTACAGGCGTGCACCATCATGCCGGCCTAATTTTTATACGTTTAGTAGAGACGGGGTTTCACCACATTGGCCAGGCTGTCTCAAACTCCTGGCTTCAAGTGATCCACCCACCTCAGCCTCCCAAAGTGCTGGGATTACAGGCGTGAGCCACCATGCCCAGCAAATACTTAGTATTTTAAAAGTGCTTTTATCACTGATAAACACACTACACACATTATAACGATTTAATCCCCAACTAACCCTGGAAAGTATTATTTCTCCTGTTTCATAGATGAGGAAGCTGGGAAGTTGGGTTAAGTTACTTGCCCAGGTCACACAGGCAGTTAGGATGGGCTTAGTATCTGAACCGAGGCAACCTGAATCCAAAGCTCATCTACATTACTATTATACTATTCTAGTGCAGCAAATATGAGCTGCTTTGGATAGTGATTATATTATGAATTAAATGTAATAAAATTCATAAAACTTCAGTTTCTTGTTTTTATGAAACATAAATAGAACACAGTAGATATTGGGAATTGTTATAATTAAATCTAACCTCAGTTCTCTAAAATAGTGTTTCTCCGAGCGCATCTTGTGTCTTGAGATTACCTGCAAAGAGATCATTTGGAACCTCCCTACCTCAAATCTTTGGAACCACAATCTCTTGGGGGCAGGGCTACAGAATCTGACATTTTAAATAAGCTCCCAAGGAGAGCTGGCTTCCCAGCTGTAGTCTGAGTCACATGCCTATAAATTAAACATATTTAGTAATCATTCTTTTTCTATTTCTCAGACTGATCTAGTGTTGTTCTCAATGTTATTTTTTATGAATTTAGAATACACTATTTTGAGTAGTTCAAGTGGAATTGTCTATACTTTGAGAAAATAAAACCTACCCTTCAAGCTTTCATAAGTAGGAAAATAAAATAATAATCTGGCTTAAAATCAAAATCACTATTATATGTGGTGGCTCAAGAATCCAACTTGACAAATAAAAAAGCAAATCATTTC